GGTTTAGGGTTTAGGGTTTAGGGTTTGTGCGCGCAGCAGCGCTTCTCTGCGGCTGCTGGCTTCGCGCGTGGCGCAGGTGGTGGTTTGTGGGGACTGTCTGTCTTTGCCAGCAGCAGCAGCAGCAGGAGGTGCAGCAGCAGCAGCAGCAGCAGAGGGGGGCGCTGCTGCTGCTGCTGCTGCGCTGCAGGAAGCAGACGCGTTCCTGTCGCAAGTTGCTGCTGCTGCTCCGCTGCTGCTGCTGCCGGGCCCCACAGACCCCACAACGCATGCGCTGCCGCAGCTGTCTATACACCCCGCGCTGCTGCCCCACACTCGCCAATTTGCTGCAGCAGCAGCAGCACCAAACCCTCACGCCTTTGAGCTTGATGGAGTAAAAAGAATTTAATTAATTATTTTATTTTATTTTATTCTATTTTATTTATTTAAAACCCCTTTCTGCAATTGCTTCTTCATTCTCCTTCTTTTTGCTCAATTAGCAGCAGCAGCAGCAAACGGAACGCTGCAGCAGCAGCAGCAGCAGCAGCAGCAGCAGTAATGTTTTGCTTCTCTCTTTGAGTCCATTTGTGCTGCAGATCCGCTTCATCGGAAGCAGCGGACAGCCGGTGAAAGACATTTGCCGCCAGAGCTGCCTCTCCCCCATAGGTAGGGTTTAGGGTTTAGGGTTTAGGGTTTGCGGGAGCTGCTGAGGGTTCGGGAAGGCGCCGCGTCGGCCCCTTACTCTGAGGGTTTAGGGTTTGAGGACGCGGAAACACGGCTAGGGTTTGGGGCTCAAGTTTAGGGTTTAGGGTTTAGGGTTTAGGGTTTAGGGTTTGCGGCTGCAGAGGCTCTCGAGCTGACGGCGCAGTGCCGTTGTATTGCCCCAACCGCCCCAGACACTCTCCCGTAAGCTGCTGCTGCTGCTGCTCTTTTGCTGCTGCTGCTGCTGCTCTCTTGCTGCTGCTGCTGCTCTTGAGCTGCTGCTGGTGTTGCTCTTGCGCTGCTCTTGCTGCTGCTTTCGCGCTGCTTCTACTGCTGCTCGTGCGCCACCGCCGCCGTCGCTGTTGCTGCTGGTGCTATCGCTGCTGCTGCTGCAGCTAGGGTTTAGGGTTTAGGGTTTAGGGTTTGTGGCTCAGGTGCTATCCTTTTGTTGACCGAGACCCTTTTTGCATAACAGGGTCCAGCTCTTACCACGTGTACTTCGCGGGGCTGCAGAAGCAGCACGAGCACCGCCAGCTGGCAGCAGCAGCAGCAGCAGCAGCAAACCCAGCAGCAACAGCAGCAGCAGCAGCAGTTGCTATTTGCATCCCTGACTTCAAGCTGCGGGGCGAAACAGTTTTGCTGTCGCTGAAAACCCTCAGCTCCAGAACTCTCAAGTTCAGCCTAGCAAAGGGAAATGGGGAATAACTATTTGTTTTATTTATTTATTTATTTATTTTATTTATTTATTCATTTATTTATTTAAATTGTTTATTTGTCTATTGCAATTGTTTAGGATTTGGGTTTCTTGTTTGCTGCTGCGTCCGAAAGAAAGCGCGCTTGCTGCGGGCTCTTTGTTGCTGCTCAGTAGAAGCAGCAGCAACAGCAGCAGCAGCAGCAGCAGCAGCAGGTGCTGCTGCTGCTGCTGCGTGAGGGCACGCAAACCCTAAACCCTAATCCCGAGGTGCTGATCCGGTGGTCTGCAAACCCTCGAGGGGCATGCCTCTATTCTGCTGCTGCTACTTGCTGCTGCTGGTTGCAGCTGCTGCTGTTGGCTGCTGCTACTTTCGTTTGTTGCTGCTGCTGCTGTTTCCTGCTGCTGTTCCCTGCTGCTGCTTCTTGCTGCTCCTGCTCGTCGCTGCTGCTTGCTGCTGCTGCTTCTTCCTGCTGCTGCTCTTCGTCGCTACTGTTTGCTGGTGCTGCTGTCCAGTGCTGCTGTTGTTTGCTGCTGCTGCCGTTGCTGCTGCTGCTTGCTGCTGCTGCTTCCGGGTGGCAGCACCTGTGCAAGTTGTATCTAAAAAGTTTTCCATAATCCTTCACGATGGAGACTCCAAAGAAATACTAAAACAGCAAATCACAAAATTGCTGCATTGCTCAATTAACTAACAACACAGGCAGCAGCAGCAGCAGCAACAGCAGCAGCAGCAACAGCAACAGCAGCAGCAGCATCGAAAATCACCAACAAAGCACAGCAGCAGCGGCGGAAATCCGCAGCAAGCCGCAGCAGCAGCAGGGAGCAGCAGCAACGGAGCGCAGCAGCAGCAGCAGCAAACAAAAATAGAGAACCAAGCAGCAAGAACACATAAAAAGGAAGTTAGAGAAAAGTGAGATAATGCAGCAGAAAAGAAAATCCATAAACAAAAGAACCAGCAGCAAAAAGGAGAAAAGCGCAGCAGCAAACAAGCCAAGCGATCCCTCCTTGCTGCTGCTGCTACCCGTGCTGCTACTGCTGCTCCTACTGCTGCTGCTGCTACTGCTGCTGCTACTGCTGCTGCTGCTGCTGCTGGCAGCAAGCGTGTGCACTCACGGGGTTAACTTCTGCAACAAAAGTAAAAGTTGCATTATTTAAATCCACTTTATAATTCTTTCCAACTGCAGAATCCAAAACTTCCAAAACACTTTTCTTATTTGCTGTTCCAAAACCTCTGCTGCTAAACGCGCACGCCCAAGTCCCTTTCCAAGTACCCTCGGGGGGCCCCCCGTGGGGGCCCCCAGGGGCCCCCTCCTCCTGGGGGCCCCCTGGGGGCCCCTCCCCCTGGGGGGCCCCTGGGGGGCCCCCCTGGGGGGCCCCCTTCATAGTGCCTTCAGGGACTCCAGATGGCGACCCTTCACACAGACCCAATGGGGCCCCACTTGGGGCCCCTCTGGGGGCCCCCTGGGGGGCCCCCGAGGGTTTGAGAATTGGGTGTTTGCCATTTGCGTTGTTTGTTGAATTGTCTGCGGTGTACATACAGCTCAGAGGTAGGGGAGTTTCGATTAAAAACAATTTATTTAAATTAATTTTTTAAATTTAACTTTATTTTTCCAAAATGCAATAAGTATTCTTTTGCTGCATACTATGGAAAGCTGCAAAAAACCTACTCGCGCCATTTGCTGCTGCTGCTGCTGCTGCTGGGGCTGGTGCTGCACCTGCTGCTTGGTCCGCCTCATGCGTTTCTACTGCCGCTGCATCTGCTGCTGCTGCTGCTGCTTTTGCTGCTGCAGCAGCATCCCTGTTGTCAGCAGCAGCAGCAGCTTCTGGTGCAGCTGCTGCTGCTGGTGCTTCTGTAGCCGCTGCTGCTGCCGTTCCACCTGCGGCGTCACCTGCTGCTGCTGCTGCTGCTGCTGCTTCTTGGCAGCTGTTTGCTGCTGCGTTTGAATAAGGCAAGAAGCAGCAGCAAAGCTGTTTGCATGCAGCAGCAAACTGCTGCAGCGAAGGCTCCGAGCAAATGTCCACCGGCAGCACACGCGAGACGTGCCTTAAAAGAAAGTAAAAATAAATAAATAAATAAATAAATCATAAATAAATAGATGGATAAATAAATAAATAAATAATAAATAATTGATATAATTAATTAAATTTAAAGAATTAAGAAAGGACCATTTCTTAAAGACTGCAGCAAAAGCAGCTGCTGCAGCTAAACAGAAGAACCTGCAAAAAGAATAATTAAATGGCAGTTAAAATAAACAATTGTAAAAAATAATAACAGCATTTATCAATAAATAATAAATAATAAATAGTATATAATAAATAATAAATGATAATAAATGATATATATAATACTTAATAAATAAATAATAAAAATAAACAATAAAACAAAATTACAAAGCAAAATGAATAAAATAAAACGAAATAAATAAATAAAAGAAATAAAATAAAATAAAGCAGGAGGAATTAAATCATAAAACAAATGAAACAATTTAAATAAGACAAAATAAAGAAAATAAATAAAACAAATAAATAAACAGAATCAAACAAACAAAATAATAAAATAACTAAAATAATAAAACAAAGCAAAACAAAACAAACAAAATGGAAAAAAATAAATAAAATAAATAGAATAGATAAACCAAAATAAATAGAATAAAATAAATAAAATGAATAAAATAAGTAAAATAGAGTAAATAAAATAATAAAACAATAAAATAAATAAAATAAAATAATACCTGCAAGAAAACTTGTGCGGATTGTCGAGGGCGCACTGCAGCAGCCCGCAGCAAATCTCCGAAGGAATATCTTTTTCCCCACAAAAGCGAATAAAGGCAACTCCCTACAAATAAATAAATAAATAAATAAATAGATAAATAAATGAATAAATGATAAATAAATAAATACATAAATATATGTATAAATAATTTAAATAAAGTTTCTTTGATGGGCAAGAGAAAATGCACAATTCCATTATTCATGGCGGGTCAAAGAGCAGCAGCAGCAGCAGCAGCACAGCAGCAGCGGCAGCAGCGGCGCGGCAGCAGCAGCACGGCAGCAGCAGCAGCAGCAGCAGCAGCAGCAGCAGCTCACGGGCAAGAGTTGGCTGTAGACCTGGAAGCGCCGCGAGCGCTCAGAAAGGCTTTGCAGCTCTTCAGAAATGCCAGCAGCAACTTCGTCAGCAGCGCAGCACGCCGGGGCTCTGCAGCAGCAGCAGCCACAACAGGGGCGCCGCTGCTGCTGCTGCTGCTGCTGCTGCAGCTGCTGCTGCTGCTAGTTGGGAACTGAAGGCTAAGTGAAGCCAAGTGGGAAGTGTGCAAAAGGCAGCTCACCGCTCGTCGGTGGGCGCCTCCGCCTGCGGCCCGAACTCCTCCAGGTACTGAAAAGAAGAAAAATGGCAAAGTTTATAATCAAAAAAAAGAATTATTTGAATGCTTTACATTTTAGAAATAATTATAAGCTGAAATGGGAGTTAAAGAAGCCGGCAAAAGGCGCAGAAGTGCGCAGGGAGGAGCGGGAAAGCTGAATGCGGGTGGCTGCAGCAGAAAGAGAGGCAAAATGCAAATAATAAAAGCTGAGAAAGAACTTTAAAACTCACGCGATCTAAAATGTTTAAAAACTCCGTGCAGGCTTCTTGAGGTTGTCGGTTGAAGGTCAAGATGACGCCTTTGCAGCTTTTTCCGACTTCGAGCTTTCGCCTCTGTCGAAAACAGGAAAGAGGCGATATTTCGCGAAATCAGAGGCCTCAGGCCCGATTTTTCGGATTTTTGAAACAATTAAAAAATTTCAAATGCAACTGTGTGCACTAAATGCCAAAAAGTGGTCGTTTTCGTGCAAGTTTCCCTCTTTTCCGCGCGCGGCGACGGAGTGTACAGACACCTCGCAACTCCCGCCCACCTTCGCCATTATTCCAGTTCCTCGAGCGCCACTTTTTCCTCTTTTGACTTTTCGCTTTTTCGCCTCTTCCATTTTTGCAGCTTTTCTTTCCCTTTTGACAACAAATGCTGCAGCCAGTGAGCAGCACAGAGGGAATTCCAGGCAAGTTGAATCTCGATTGCGCCGAAGACCCTTGGCCTCACCTCGCCAAAGATGAAATGGTATTTCAAATTCAAATTTGTAAGATGAAAAAGATGAAATGGTATTTCAGATTCGAGATTGTAATTTTCAAGAAAGACAAGTTTCAAAGTCGCATTTTCAGCAGCTGCTGCTGCATGCAATCTTCGGCAGCCGTGCTTGCATGCAGCAGCAGGTGTCGCGTCTTTATTTTTTCTCACATTGAATTCTAAATAAAGTAAATAAAATAAATAAAATGAATTAAATAATAAAATAAATAAAGGATTTTAATGGTGCTGCGGCGATAAAGACGGCCACCAGCTCTCCTGCTCCTGCAGTTCTTAACTGCACAATCGACGATTGTAAACCCTAAACCCTGAGGGTTTAGGGTTTAGCTGGAAAGGATGACAAGAAGGCACTTGACAGAAAATCTAGGGTTTAGGGTTTAGGGTTTTATTCCATTTAACTTGTTTCAAGGCAAGTATTTAATCGGCGAGAGAAGAAACTTTTAATCGTAGAGCAGCCAGAAGGCGCAGCGTCGTCCCAGCCCTAAACCCTAAACCCTAAACCCTAAACCCTCGGCAAATGAGTAATCCAGATCAAATAAAAGAAAGCCCAAGGCAGGCAGATGAAGCCAGAGGGAAACTCAAAAGCGTCAAACCCTAAAGATAAGTGCAGCTGCTGCTGCAGCAGCAGCGGCTGAGTGCTGCAGCAGCTAGCTGCAGCAGCAGCTGCAGCCCCAGCTGCTGCAGCGCCGGATTCTGCAGCAGCAGCATGCGGAGCTACAAACCCTAGACCCTCAAAGGAAAAGGCCCCAGTCTCAACTCTTGAGTCTAGGGTTTAGGGTTTAGGGTTTAGGGTTTGAAGCGGAAGTTAGGCAGCCTGGGTTCTCTGCGGACAAGAGCAGCATAAAACACAGAGGCCCTGAATTGCTGCTGCTGCAGCAGAGGGGGGCCCCCCAGGGCCTTGGGGGGCCCCCCTGCTGCTGCTGCTGCTGCCAGGGGGCCCCCCTGTCTGCTGCGCTCTCCCACGATGCGAATAGAGGCCCCAGTGGCCAGCTTCATCTCAAGTCTTCCATCAGCAGCAGCAACAGCAGCACCTGCTGCTGCTGCTGCAGCAGGAGCAGCAGCAGCAGCAGCAGCAGCAGCAGACACTGGAGGGCCCCCACAGAGAGCAGCAGTATAGGGTACAGCGAGGCCCTGGAGCCACGCGTCGTC